CACTGCTCTCACTGAATCCGGCAACACAGCATCTATTTCCTTTCTATAAAATTGCTCCAAGACATACTTGTCAATGCTGGGCACTTGGCAAAAAGGCAGAATGATGGTCTGCCAGCAAAGGCGAGGAATGCAGACTCACCCAGCTTTTTAAACCATATCTCAAAACGTTTCTTTGAACCCTTTTTTAAAAATATGTTTGTATTTGCACATGTGAAATCACTAACAGCTTGGTTGAGACCCATCGAAATCAATGCCGATGGATGCATCAATGAACCACTCATCTTTTTCGGATAAGTGACAGTAAACAGTGTGCTTGTGCAATCAATGACACTGACTGACAATGACAAGACTCACTCATGATTCTAATAAAAATGGAAAGATCTTCCAAAGCGCTCTTCAATCTAAGTCTTTGCAAACAAGCACTCTTCAAAATGCGCCTAGGCTGGGTGGAAGGCAGCATGTGATGCGCTTTTGGCCTGCAAGCAAAGACAAACAATCAACAGGAAGTCCTGGGAGTCTGGGAGGTCTCATTCGGTCTCATTAATCATTAGTCCCGGGGTTGATGATGAAAGCACAAATGCTTCCCCAAAAATTCTATCAGATCAGGTGTCCCAGGGGCTTCCCACCGAGGAGCTAAACCAAAATGGATGAGTGTCCAACAGGTGTTCCAGGGATCCGTTGAACCAGCAGTTCCCCTCCCCTACAAATGAAGATTTTCATGCGATGCGGCGCTCGAGGATTGCAGCTAGCTGGTGCTAGCCAGTCGTCGGCTGAACCTTCGATGGAGTTGCCGGCTTGGAAGGACACTGGTCAGCCGAAATCTGGTTGAGGACATGAACTTGTCCCGGGATCAATCATCTAATGGCTGACTGACTGTGACTAAAGTTTTATGATTTTTAAACAAGTAAAAATTCAGAAAAGCTTTGATTGGTTGAAGCAAATCTCAATCCAAGTAACTCACAAACCTCAATCCAGAGAATAATGAGTGGCCAGTCCGGAAAAGTCCGGAAAGAAGACTAAACCAGTCCAGGTTCACAAAGGTCTCTGGCGAGGGTATCGTTCATACAAAATCCAAGCCTAAGCTGACTGGGACCCTAGTCCGGAAAAGTCCGGAAAAGTCCGGAAATAGGCATTGAGTCATAGGGCTATCCAGAAAGGATTTCACCGGAAGCAGACCTTAAGTCCGGAAATGTCCGGAAAGGTTTAAATGCAAGTAGCTAGACATTGACAAGATCTGGAAGTCTAGAAATGGTGTCAGTTGAAAGGGCCCAAGTGAGAGTCCGGTAAGCCCCTGGATCAAAGGGGCTCTGGAAAAGACAGCTCAGGAGGTCACAAAACAATAATTTCAATCCAAGTCAAACCAATTGGCTTCTGGATGACACAGCATCCCAGTCAGCTTGGCTCAAAGTTTTATAGCCCATAAAGCCCAGTCAGCTTGGTCCGTGCCTTATGGTTGAATCTGGACCTTCAGGAGATTGGCCTGGCCTCAGTGAGTCAAACATAGTAAGCATGAACATTTAATTTAGTCGGCAATCATGAATCATATAGAATCCAGAAGCTCAAAGGCAGTTAAAGTTACCCAGGCACCATTCAATAAGTGAATTAATTTTCCAGAAGTCTTCAAACCTTAGGGTCTTTGGAATTATTTAGGTTTACAACAAATGTGTCAGTGACAGTGTCAGAGAGTCATGCAGCTGCAGTTCACTACTGAGCCCCCCGGCTCCTCTGCTGAAGGCGACGCTTGTGAAACTTAAAGGGTGAAACGTAAATTTGTGATGAGATCGTAAGCCAGAATCAAATACTTCTATTGTTCAAGTTTGACTGACTTAGTGAAGAATACTCTCATCACTTTGATCGGCGTGACAATGACACATTACAGACAATGACAATGGTTGGAAACTTATTGACACTGACCCAAGTTTAACAGTAGTTTACCTGACATTGACATTGACAAATTAAAATGACACTGACATGACACTTACATCTATTAATTGACACTGACACATTGACACTGACTATTAGTCCTGAGTCCTGGATTGGACTTGTTTTTATCTCTATTTCTAGTTTAGTATACTTTATGCAGTTACAGTTATAATTAGTGAAGCAATATGCAAGTATAAACAGGCAAATATCAAAAAAAAAAAAGAATTAAAGCGTTGGACTAAACAGCTAGGGTTTCGAATGACCCATAACTATGCATGTTATTGCTAGACAAACGCTGATATGATATGAGCCCACACAGTCTTTGTGGCCTACGTTCAATTGCAGTGCCCCGGGCAGCACCATGGCATAAATGACGGGACTGCACGCACGTGCTGGCGCGGTTGCATTGTGTGATTTGAGCATTGAACAAATATCCACAATGAACACATCAAAAAGGCATTGATCTCTTAAAGTAACCATTTCATTACGCTGATATTCTGCAGGTTGTCGATATGTCATGGGCAGGTGCTGGTTTGGTTCCATCCAACTTTATGGGCCCATGTGCGCATCTAGATTCCGTGCCAAGAGTGGTTCCTTCTAAAAACTGCTGCAACACAGTCACAACTCATTATTCTGAGCACAACTAACAAGCAAAAGGGTTTGACAGCCGTCAATCTCACAAGGGCAAAGTCATCGGGCATTCTGGGCGCACACTCCGGTTGGACTTGGAGCAAAACGAACTCGGATCTTGCTGTCAGAAGATGCCTCTTCAAGACTTCACAATGTGAACATTACATAAATTCAAGCAGGTGTCTGTCCTTTCTCGACACCGAATGTGCTCGAGCTGACCCACCTCGCGTTTGAAGAACATACAATCATTTCGTTGAAGCAAATGTATGCAAGTGTGCAACTTCATCCTAGGCTCCGCGTGCGAGCCTTGCACTCCAGGGACCAATCTTAGTCCCAAGTGGCGAGGGTTTCCGGACCTCAAATCTCCAAGCATTCAAAACGGTTTTGTTCACTATAGTACTGTATATACGGTATATAGTTGCTTGCATCAGTTTGCCCACTGCCAAGAATACTCGCAGCAAGCCTGCTCTTTCTCGCTGCGAAGCCCGCAAGGACAGCAGCTGCAGCTGTAGCACTTCTTGATGTGGTTGTCTCCCTCAAGTTTGGACAAAGTCTTGCCACCTCAATGTATTCGTTAACCATCAAATGAGAAGTGTTCTGCCTGTCATGACCGAAGTCGACGCCCCTGCTCAAGGGAACCTGGCAGAATGCAGGAAGACCTTGTGTTTCACGAATCATTTGGCTGCAAACACCATTGAGAGTGATTGTTTAGGTTGGCAAAGTTGTTTAGAATTGTTTCGTTATTTTCAATCACCTTTCGGTCATGTTCGGCCGTTAGGTTCTTTTCGCTACTAAGTATTTTACCCAGCATTTTGGCAATTGGGATCAAATGGGCACCTGGTGCCACTTGCTATACTTACAATATGTTAGGTGGTTTGTGGAAACCGTTTCGCTGGCACTGTATTTTTGGCCCTGTTGAACATCACATCGTCAACTTCTGCTGCTAGCACCATTTTGTGTTCCCCACGCTCACCTTGCAAAAGGTTGTGTGTTTCGTGGAAAATTGTGTAAACCTTTCCGGTGGTACTTGCTGAGCTTTCGGACATCACACCATATCCTTTGCATTCCTTTGCTATCGACAACATTTTGGTTGTCCCGTGTTCCCCGTTCAGCTAGTTTTTTGTAGCACGGCTATGAGCAGCACTTTGGGCAGCCAGTGTTGATTCCTTGCTGGTACTTCGAAAGCTCCTTCCTTCCTTCCTTCGTTCCTTCCTTCCTTGCTTGCTTTCGGGATGTTGGCTTGCACACTCCCTGCCTTCCTCGTGCTTCACTTGCGAGGTCTAACAGGGCGAGCAAGCAAGCAAGCCAGCCAGCGAGTGAGCGAAAGAAGCTAGCACCAAAAACAAAAGAAGCAAGGATGCAAAGAAGCAAAGATTAACAACACAGGAAAGCTCAAAGCCGAAAGGCTAGAAGGCAGAGAACTTAAACAACAAACAGCAAAACCACAACAAAAAGCCAAAACACACAGAAAAGATCAGCAAAGTAAAACACTGCCAAAGCAAGATAAAATAAGTTCCAAAAATATGCACGCCCACAGTGCCACAGTGCAGCCAACAGTCCCAAAATGCACTGCAGTGATGAGTTAGTAAACATTCGCAGGCACACAGAGACACACACACACACACCGTCTTAGGAGCGCACACGATCTCCAGAAAGCGCTGTGGAAGACCTGCAGAACTCGCGTGTTGCAGGGCTTTGAAGCCTGTTACTGTGCCGGAGCTGCCTGGATGTGGCCCCTCTGGGGGGCGTAACTCGGAGAAAAGAGAGCATGCGCCTCAAACAGTTACGACACAATGATGTCTCATGAATTTTGAATTTGAGAAAACATGAGGAGCCTTGCCGCCCTAAGGACGCAATCACGGGGTGCTGTTTCAAAAAACACTGCGGCAAAACACGATTGGCACACACACACCGCTTTAATTACCACACGACATCTACAGTACTGTACATAAGAGTCTCAGAAAGGAACCTAAGCCTGTGTCGTTCCTGTTGCAAGCAAATGGTGTCTTTCTGTATCTGTGTGGCCATGGCTATGGCTATCGCTTGTCATGGCGATTGTCAATCCCGCAGGACCGAAGATCCGATGATATGTTCCATTCCAAACACATAGGTTTCTCATCTCCAACTAGGGTCATCATTGAACAAAGGCAATGGCAATAGTTGGATTAATCAAGAATCCTAATCTGCTGGCAACAAAAAGTACAGGGTAGAACTATATACAAAATTGGGGGTACGGCTTCACTTGAAGACATGTAGTTCACTTCGTGCAGCTGTTGGAACGAGGTGCTATATTTTAATTGGAGAAGAACCCAGGATAGGAAAAACATTGCACAAATTGTGGAGGAGAGGACCGAGAAGAGAATATATTACTGTGAACCCTTGACCTGTCAACCAATGTTCCAAGAGGCAAGCATGACATCTCGAAATTGTTGGTGCCTTGCCAGGCATCCAAATCATGGAACAAACGTGCTGCTTCTCAAAGCTCCACAGGGGACTCATTCTCACCTTTTTGCAGAGATTCACCAACATGTCCACGGCAGTATGGCAGGACAGCACATCGGGCACATTTGCCCGACAGTGGGAGGTGATGATCATTGTGAAAACTCGTGCTGCTGCACTCAGCTTACTTAAAAGCTTGGTAACGGTCAGTAACGATTTCAGGGTCTGTGTTAAATACATTATGTGAATCAAACATAATGACACCAAACTGACAACCACTGGCCGATCTAGGCCGCTCTCGGAAAAGTTAAAACAACTCTTGCAAACACTTGTGGTCGGCTCTGTCAATTGACACTATCCGCGCACAGGTGTCTTGACCTCAGTCCATAGATTTCAATGCCAACGAAACAGCATGAACAACTCAAATATGTCGCTGGCTAAGTTTTGAGAAGGACCTTGTCAAACTGGTAACAAGGGTTTATCTAGTAACAAGAGCATCGCTACTAGTAGCAAGTGCATCGCTAGGAGTAGCTAGAAGCTACTATTAACACAGGTGCCTTGACGCCAACTCGATCCAGAACTGCCAGAGCCTGGCAAGTGCCGTGAGCACACCATATCGACTCGATGGTTTCTAAGCTTTATTTTTAGGAGGGGTAGGCTGCTAGTTGAGGTAGGTAGGTAGCTAGTAGAAGAGGTAGCTAGTACCTACAAAAGGACAAGAGATACTACGGTTAACTACAATAAAATATGTAATATGTGGGTTAGATAAAGGCCGAACAGGTATTTTAGTGTACCTCCGTGAAGGATCTGCCGGGGCCGCCCACCCATTAAAACATGCGGAAAATACATGCGGAAAAGCACTTCCTAAGTCATTTCTCAAAATCGGACTAGAGTCAAGCTCGACGGAGTCTTCTTCCCAAGAGGGTCTACGTAAGGTGGGTCCACGTATGGTGGGCCTGTACTATAAGGAGGGAGGAGCCCGTATAGGGAGGGTCCACGTAAGGAGGTCCACATACAGGGGATCCATGTAAGGAGGGCCCACGTAAGGAGCTAGGTAGGGTCCACGTAAGAGAGACCACGGAAGGGGCTCCACGTATGGAGGGTCCACGCGTGGTCCATGCACAGGGACGTCCAGGAAAGGAGTCCACCTAGGTAGGGTCCGAAAGGGTCCATGTAAGGGGGTCTACGTAGTCTAGCTAAGAAGGGTCCACGTGAAGAACGCAAGCAGGGCATGTTGTTATAAGAGGGTCCACCTAGCTAGGTCCACGTAAGGGGCTCCATGTAGGGCCTAGCTGGGTCCACGAATGGGGGGTCTAGGGAACGCAAGGAGGCTTGGCTGGCCTTTGGCGGGGTATCATGGGCTTAAATGAGAGCTTTACCTTAGAACTTACGTGGGCCTTGGCTGGCCTTACGTGGAGGCCTTTGGCGGGAGGGCCTTCCATGGAGGGTTTCATGAGCTTAGTTAGTGCACGTGGAAACCTTATAGCTTATCCCTTGTGACGGATGCCTTGGCTGAATGGTGATGCAAAGGGCTTGGCTGGGAGGGCCTTACAATATGGAGGGTTTGGGTTGGGCGTGCGGGGCTTAGTTGAGCTATATATGGAGGCCTTAGTTTGTCTGCGTGGAGGAGAGTTTGGGGGATTGGAGCTTCCGTGGAGGCCTTGGTTGCCTTATGCGGAGGCCATGTATAGGCTTTGGCTTCGGCAAGTTTTTTGGCGGGCGCAAGTTGGTGACTGCGTGAAAGCCTGGTGGGGTTATGTGGATATGGCGGGCTTAGTGGAGGGGGTGGAGGGGTGTGGCTACATGAATGGTTACCACCATGTGGGGCTATGTGGGGGCTTTGGCGCTTTGGCAATCCTGCTGCTTCTTTGTTTTCCTAGTGGGCATTTTGTTTGCGCTTTGTGGAGGGGTGTGGGATGGAGGCTTTGGCGCTTTGGCCATCCAGCTGCTTTTTTTTGTTGTGAATGATGAAGGAACTGTACATTTCCCCCAAACATACGGACAGAATAGAAATTATATATACACTACCTCCAGGAGGATTAACCCTGGGCCGCCCGTCCACCCTCCACATATTTTAATGGCGTAACCGTACAACTACTGGTAGCTACTACCTATGGAATCCTATGGATGTAGGATAGCTCGCGCTTCTTCAAGGAGGTCCCCCCGGCGCCCTGAAGGCGGCAGCCTCTCGAAGAAGCGCTCGGACTACTGACTAATGATTTGGTTTCTAGATTTTTGGGAAACTTGATGTATTAGGGTAATTACAAAATCACCAATGCAGGGTCTCTGATTTTGCCATACCTTGTCAATTATGTGCTGTGCGTTGAGCTTCGCATCATCCTTGGTGCTGGCACTCAAATGTGGAATCGGAAGCGATAGAAATAGTCTAGTAGTCTAGTGCTCTTTGCGCATACAAATGAGATCCCGGCGTACTGAAGCTCAGGAGTGTTGTGATCGATCCACCTATCCTGAAGACCAAGGCCCGTCAATGTGCAATTCCGAATTGCTGCCCTTGTGCAACACATCAACACATTCCAAGAGGTGCACTGGAAGGACCATGCTTCGCAAGGCTATTGGCGTTTTGCCAAGGCCATCGAGATATCCTTCATCTAGAAGGACCTGCGCCCGCAAAAAATATGGCAACGGTAGCAGTAGCAGCAAGTCCTGCCACATGCAGCCTGCTGCACCTGGGCAGCAAAGCCTCCAATAGCATTTTCCTTCGCAATCCATTTGGCACTACTTTCAAGGGCGGACACAAAAAGATCAAAAAGCATCGGGAACCTCGATCGTGATGACAGCGCGATGGTCTGCTGCAAGCCAACCAACAAGCTTCTTGTCCAGAGGTTTCACCCAACCTGGTGTTTGGGGACAGTCAAAAAACAAGACAAGTGAGCTTGATCGTCAAGTGCTCTTCAACCAAGTCATTTAGGTACTTGGCGAGCATCAGCCACAGTGGCCGATATTCCGTACTTTTCCTCGAGCTCCTCCGCAGCCTGTTTGGGCTAGGCTCCAATATGTTTCCAAACAGTCTAATTTGCTTGGTCTCTTCACAGTCGCAAGTAACGTGTGGCAGGTCCAAACTAGGACTAAGTTAGGAGCCAGTCAGTGTTGTTTTGCTGCAAGCTATTGCTTTGCTCTTGCATTGTAATGTTGACTCTTGATTAATCAACTCCCACCCCGCCCCCCCCCCCTCAACAACCAGGGCCTCCAATATAATCTACTAGAAAACTAATCAAAGGACCAAAATGAAAAGAATCCTTATTAAAATCTTCTTGGCCTTCTCTGGCAATATTAAATTAAAAGGGAATCAATGAAATCTCAAATTTGGAATACTAAAGTAAAAGGAAATCAATAAAGTTGAAATGGAATTCTCAATATTTTAATGGAAATCTAAATCCAAAGACCTCCAAAAGCATCACATCTCAATGGAAATCTCCAAAAGACATCTGACATATTAATTACAATAAAAGGGAATGAATCAATGCAAATAGAACTAACTTTTTAAATTTCAATGGAAATCTAAATCCAAAGACCTGCAATTTCAATGGTAATTAAAAAAAATCAAAAGGCAAAGAAAAGGAATAACGATTTAAAGCCTCAAATCTCTAGACATTATTCTAGGGGCCCCCCTAAATAATGTCAGAAAGCTGCTTGCTGGACTACCCCCTTTGCTTGAATGATTTTTTTGTTTTTCAATACTTTCGAATAAGGAATGTTATAAAGAAAGTGCGCACCGACTTTTGGAAACTTTTGGAAAGCTTCAACACTAAAGAGCTTAGGAA